TAGGCACCCCTAAACACTTTATTTTGTTACTATCTGTATTGATGCTAAACAGGATAAGTGAGTAATTATGCTATTTTGAACTTTTCTGAGCCAGCTTTATATATGATAGAAATATTTACTCATTTACTAACTTAAATTGCCACCAGAAACCCTCTGTGTAAGCTGTAAACCAAATCAGTTGAAGATCAGCTAAACTACTCTTCTAGGCTGCTTTTTGGCTGTTGTTATCATAATGAAAATTGCTGTCAATAATGGACGTTCAGTCTCAAACAATGTTTTGTTCCTAAAATGCTCTTTTTGTGCTTTGACAGAAAGTTCAGGCAGATGAAACTACATGGTAGTACTGCTCAACCTTCCATGACTGATTTTGACAGCTAACAGTGCAGCACAACCCTTCTATCATTGAACCAATCAGAAAAACGAAGGGGCAGGGCTTGCCGCAGAATTAGCCAATCAGAAATGAGCACAGCAGTAGAATATGCAGACCATTTGTCTCGCTGTACAGTGTATCATGTTGGCCGTGGAGCAGTAGCGCGGATAATTGGTGTTCCAACCAGGATATATTGCACCAAAAAAAAAAAAAAAAACCTCAGTTTTTAAAAATATTTTTAATTTATTTCAATTTTTTGCAGTTTGGGCTTTAAAGGACGTTGAGCAGCAGCTGTCGGGACGGCCGCTGTTTTGTTGATGTCATCCGCGACCTTCAATTCCTCAACAAGCTGAGGATAAACAAAGAGTCGCTTTGAGGGTTTTAGTGTTACCCTTTATTTTTGTCGCCTTTCCGCCTTTGCCAGTTGGCAGGATGAGAGTCCTGCTGCAGGGGCTCCTGCTGCTCGCTGCCTGCGCTCTCCCTGCAGGTGGCTTGGATTTCCAGCCTGGATCCAAAGCTGTCGGACAGCCGGTGTTCAGGAGGCGCTCCGCCGTGGAGCAGAGAGCCGCACACATCGTCAGGAGGTCCCTTCCGTCGTGGCTGGACGCATCGCAACATAGGAGAAGGAGAAGGAACGCCGAGCAAAGCGATTCCTGCAAACAGCACCGAGGGTTTCAGAGCAAGTTAAATGACAACACCCACAGTGTAAGTTACCGTCCTGTTTCAGGTTGCAATCCGACAATTACAGAGAGGCATGATAGTGCGCAGGTGCTAAGATGTATGAATAGGCCTTATTTATTGCCCACGGTAGGTAAAAAAAAAAAAAAAAAAAGAATTTTTTTATATTTATGTTTAAATTAGACTTTGCAAACCACATAAGTGTATCTCCTAAATTGAGGTATAAGCAACCAGAAGCACTCATATGGCCTCCAAACCAGCAGCAGCCCCGTATAATGTCATGTTATATAGAGACTGAAGATGAATCTTTGCACATTGGTAATGAAAAGTGTGTTTCTTTAATTTTTTAATTTTATTTTTTTCAACAGTGTCCTGTCTTGCAATGTGGCAATAAGAATAATTGTCTTGATGCCATAAAGAGCCCAACAGATTTTACTTTCACAGGTGGAGCAGTAGGGCTATCGCCTTAGTGTTCTGCTTGATTTATGCATAAAAATAGCTTTATTATAATTGGGTAGGGAGTATTACAAATTATATGGACACTGGAAAGTAAGTAGAACAGGAAAGGAAAACAGAGAAAAAGGAGAAAAGATGAAAGAAAGAGGAGATAAAAGGGAGCCAATGATAAAACATCTTCAGTCTGCTTCATCACCTGCAAAGAGATGGAAAATTAAAAATAAAGGTGTGTTTCAAAAACTAATCCTTATTGAAATTGTAATTTCTGGGTTGCAGTCAGTAGACTTCTGTCCACTTGTGTTGCATGCCAGGTCCTCTTTTTAGCCTGGTCTGCTGGTATGGGAAAAAAAATGCAAATTAAAAATGAAATAAACTTTTTCAGCTCTGTAGGCTCCAATGCTCAGATCTCATGTGAAGATGTTGTGGTTTTATCACCTTTGTACTCTGGTATTTCCTGTAACATTTTTATGCGCAGTGTAATAAAATCCTGTTAAACGACATTCAAAAGTTTTGATGTATCTAAAAAGTTTTCACTTGTGTCACTGGTATGCAACACATATCTGTTTTGCAGCATATAGCATTAATTTGGTTTCTCTACTGATTAGAGATCCAAACCGTCTGAATGCTGACAGGAAGTATGAGGCAGAGGAAATTCTTGTGACTGACGATGTGTTGGTTATTTTGTAATTAATAGCTTTGCTTGTGCAGTTGTTAAGGCAGTTAGGAATCAGAAAGTCATGTAGGGCAACAGAACCCACATTGTTTGTTTTTTAAGTTGAAAGCCTCCATCAATGAAGACAAGCTCATCAAATGTCTGCAAATGTACCCTTTTCTCAAGTTAAATCTAAAAACAAAACTAAAAAAAGACTAAATAAGAATCCTGTGCTGCTTATTTGCCTAGCTCACTGATGCCATGTGATCAAGTTTGCATGATGTACTTTGTGTACTTGGCCCCAATAATCTCAGGCTGAGAGAGTTCCTCGAGGCTCAGCCTTCTCTTTCCGCAGAGGTTACCATGCAGGTCCCTCCGGCACTGGGCCTGCTTACTGCATGAACAGCTCGGAGCACAGTGTGTAATGGGCTGCTAATTGTTGTTTAAGAAATTAATCTTGAAGAGGCAGCAGGTCTATATTTGTCTGGGAAGGCAAAAGTATATTTTTTGTTCATTTTATTGTATTTTATTTAACCCTGTAAGTAAAATAACCTATAAAGGTAAATAAACATTAAGAAAATGACAAACTATGTAAAAAAAAAATGTATAGTTACATGTCTCAAAGTATAGATGTTGGTATTATTGTTTGCGAGGTAAATTAAAACACATGAATTGCGATGTAGTTTACACAAGTTAACTATAGACAAGTGCTGGTGGTTGAATGTGTTTTGTTTCATGTTCCTCCTATATTCAAACCTTTGTCTGAAAATATTCTTAACACTTGTCAAGTCCAAATTCAAAAATCAATGGGATTTTTTTTTTTATGTTAACTAACAAGGCTAGTTGTTATTTTTAATTAAACTCCAAGAATCTATTTCTGTGAGTTTCGCAGAAAAACAACTGTAGGAACATGGTCACAATTTATTTTTCATAACAGTATTATACAGCTGATAAAAACTCACTGTTTAAAATGATAAAGAACTGTTTTACTTAGTTTATCTACCATAATGAGATGATGCTACTTTCCTATTTGTATTTAGTAAGGCAGTACATGTTATATGTTACAGAACGACAGGCCATAATTACAGTGGCTGAAAGCTGCAAATACATAGTAAATGGTGAAATCAGCTCCAAAAATGTGTGCTGCAAATTCCAAAACACATTAGCACAAAAAAACACTGCAATCAATAAAAATGGAAGCAAAAAACCTACAATCATCAAAACAATTGCAAACAAAAAAGCCTACAACCACAAACAAAATGCTGCAGTCAAAACAAAAAAAAAAAGTGCTGCAAGCAAAAAAAATATCCTGCAGTTACAGAAAGAAATTAATGCAATTAGTAAAACTGCTTGTAAAAAAACAAAAGAAAACACTGAAGTGCTCTAGAGGGAGTCAAACAAGGAATAAACCATATGTGACCAGAAAGTTACTTTTATGTGTAAGATATATATATATATATATATATATATATATATATATATATATATATATATATATATATATCTAAGGACTTCTGGACTACTTTAAATTTTCTGCCCTAACCTTTAACTCCTCCATCACTATATAGAGTCAGTAGTATATAGTGGACTTTATAGTGAACTGAGCTAATTTACAGTTCGGACAGATGATCGCTGCTTTTTGCCACCCATTGGTCACGTGACAGGCTCTCTGCACAGTACCTGTGCCATCTTTACTCTCTCTCACCCAAAACATCCCATGATGCTTTGCGAGGAGAGCTCTTGGATAGCATTCTGTGATATATCTGCTTGTCTAGCTTGTTATATGTCTGCTTGTAATTTTTCCCATTTTGAAGGACGGGCCTGGTGTAGGGCTGCATCTAATGATTATTTTGAAAATTTATCAATCTGTAAATTTTTTTTTTTTTTTTATTAATCAATTAATAATGGAATAGCAAAAGGTTCCTTAAAGAAGAGATTTTATGAAATTAAACCAGTTGAAAATAAACTTTTTCACTTGAGGAGTTCTGGATAGAGCATATTGACAGAAGAAAT